AGCGACTGTTACAACGTCACTTGCTGTGTTGACTGTTTGCCTGCGCCTATCGGTTTGCAGGTCTCACTCACTCACTCACTGGCTCGCCTCCATCCCTGCCGACCCCACGACGACACTTGCGCCAGACCTCATGCACCTCGGCGCTCCGGCGCCGCATGCGTCTGCCTCTACCTCCTACACATGATCACATGCCAAGTGTGTCGACTTATGCCAATGGTCGACGAGACTCGGGCGATGTTCTCGAAGATTGTGTTGTGTGTTAATGTCAATGTTCTATTGTGCCATATACACGACTGTACGCTTTGGCAATAGGCAACGTGGACTTTGGCGCAACAGGCTTCTGACACGTTCATGGCGGTGAGCGCGCCATTCCAGTACGCGTGTCCACCCGCGTAGGAACGGAGGCGCTCGCCCGGACGGGGTTGGCGCTTATGACCACGTCGCCCGGCCCGATTGGCCGCCTTGATCCCCTTTGTCCGCCCGTTCTATGGGGGCGACAGCGCGTACGTGTTCTATGATTCTGCCCATGATGACCTGCGACCCGGGGAGGACTTTGCATGCCTTTTTGGATGACACGTATGCGTCCTGCGACTGGGCGAGCGCCGCGGCCTTCAGCACGCTGCGAGCTGCCCCAAGCGATACGCCAACATCGACGTTCACCTCGGTAAGACTCGCGTCTGGAATGCGGCGGGGATAAAACCGCCCGGTTTATGCGAACTGCTGCCGACCGCGCCGGCGTGGGTCGGGGACAGGGAGTTGCCGCCAGAGGCACAAGGTTTCCTGGTCCTTGGCACGCTGCTGGGAAGCGACCAGTACAAAGGGACGCCTGCGCGAACGGCTGCGAAGCCATGCGCGCCTCCTCGACAAGCTCCCAGGCCTGCCGGACCTCCAATCTGCTTGGCTCCTGTTACTGATGTGCGCCGCGCCCCGCAATAACTACCCGTTGCGGTCCTTTTCCCCAGCGTTCACGGAGGAGTTCGCAGGTGAGCACGATGCGGGAGTCGCACAGTGCTTGCGCGAACTTTTGGCCAGTGAAGGGCCTCCGCTCAGCCACCGATGGGCGGGCAGCAGCCTTTTGGGTTTCCTGGGCGGATACGCTGCCCACGCTCCGTGCGCGACACCCGTGCGTGGTAGCTGAGGTGCTGAACCAGGCGGTCCTTGTAGCAGAAGGCGATGGCCGGGCAGCGCCGAGCGTGGTCGAGCTCACGCAGGCGGCGGCGTGCTTCCGGGAGAGTGGTTTTGAGGTTCCGTCCTGGGACCGACTGGTAGAAGGCGGCAAACAGCCGCCAGGAGCGGTGAGTGAGCGGGTGCCAGGAAAGTCGCTGCGAGGCTGACAGCGCTCTGCAGCGGCTTCCCTGGACGCGTCAGCGTGCGCGGGCCTTTCTTTGACCTAGAGCCTACTTCGCGCTCCCTGATGCTGTCCCAGGCAGGACCCTGTGGAGCGTGGGCACTGACGGTCAGAAGCTGCCACTTTCGTGCACTGGGACCGTGGTCCTGTCGCAAAAAGGTGCGCGGTAAAAGAGGTACGAGCCGACGCTGTCCCCTCATAATTTTCGGGGCAGGCGGCGCGTTGCAATGGTCGCTAAATGTCGCCAACGGCCTGCCCAGGTGGCATGGGGCTCAACTCGCCCTTGACGCCACCTTCGTCTCGCCTGTCACGGAAACCCGTTCGCGTGGCGACACCCAACCCCAACCAGGGGGTGCCATCGACAACGCCGCCCAGCGCAACCCGGGGCAAAGCGTGCCGACGCGAGTATTCGAGCTCCCTGCTCAAGCTGCCGCTTTCGGGGTAGGTTGACGGGGGAACCCGTGCCTCAGCTAGGATGTCCCCCCGTCCAAGCCAATCGCCTCCTGCCCCGGGTTCGGCTCGAAACCCGAGCTTGCCTCCTGATCAGGCGCGACGTCGATCAAGCACGGCGCTGCCGGTTGGTCGTCGTCGGTGTGAGGTTTGCAGCAGGTTCAGCACGGAAGCCGTGCAGCTTCTGCGCCTCTTCGCAACGCCGGCCGCCGCAGTCCTTGCCCACATGCGGCCATGCGGCCCAGCGCGATTGTCGCCCGCTGGCATTTTGCGGTCGCCTCCCACCCTACCTTCCATGAGGTCTTCGCCCCGCCCAGCAAGCGTAGCTTGGTCAGGAATGCAAACGGCAGGCGCGCACAAGAAATGACCCCCACACGAAACACAGCCATCACAGGGTGTTGCAGAAACGGATGGGGCGCCGTTTCGGGTGTATTTCATTCAGAAACTAGTTCACGGGCGTCATTAAGGTCTTTACTAGCCCATGCACACCAATCATCGCTTAGCCCTTGATTTGTGGTTCGCCATTTAATTCGTTTAGCTTTTGTATCTTAAAATTGTTAGGTGTGAACAATGCATGAATTTGAGAATATAGTGAACCCATGAATGCAGTGAAGTGAACACACTAAACAATGGGTTTTTTCCCTTTTACCTATTTCACGCGCAATAAGAGTCTTTTTACGCGCGTGTCTTGTTGCGCCCCCACAAAAAGCACTAATTAGATGAGACTTCTTTCATCATCAGGCTGTTACCAAAGGCCTTTGATTGCAAGGCAATAACAACTGCCCGAAAGGAAATAGCCGTACAGCTGTGGGGCAATGGGTCGTTGCTTCGATTTGATTAGACCTGGAGAAAAGCTTGAGCTGTGGCCTGATTTCCCCTGTTGAATTGCCTGTTGACCTGCCTGGACTTGACTTGACTTGACTCCTGGTTCCCGCTGAGGGTGGCGTAGTAGGACGGCATAGGGTTGAACCCCTGGGACGCGGTTGCAAAAAAGACCCGCTGATGCCGGGCCTGTTTGCGGTGGCCGTCCACCCGGCGCTTGTGGCAGCCCATGACGACCTGCGACCGGGGAGGACTTGTATGCCTTTTTGGACGACACGTATGTGTCCTGTGAGCCGGACCGGGCGTGCGCGGCCTTCAGCACGCTGCGGGCTGCCCTCAAGCGATACGCCAACATTGACGTTCACCTCGGCAAGGCTCGCGTTTGGAACGCGGCGGGGATTGAGCCGCCTGGTTTACGCGAACTGCTGCCGACTGCACCGGGGGATGCGCCGGTGTGGGTCGGGGACAGGGAGTTGCCGCCAGAGGCACAAGGTTTCCTGGTCCTTGGTACGCCGCTGGGAAGCGACCAGTATAAAAGGGAGGCCCTGCGCGAACGGCTGCGTAGCACGCGCGCCTCCTCGACAAGATTCCAGGCCTGCCGGACCTCCAATCTGCTTGGCTCTTGTTACTGATGTGCGCCGCGCCCCGCAGTAACTACTTGTTGCGCTCCCTTCCCCCGTCGCTCACGGAGGAGTTCGCAGGCGAGCACGATGCGGGAGTCGCGCAGTGCTTGCGCGAGCTTTTGGCCAGCGAAGGGCCCCTTCACCGCGACGCCCTGGCAGCCAGGCGGGCCAGGCCACCCTTCAGGTTGGGAGGTCTGGGCCTCCGCTCAGCCAATGAGGGGCGGGCAGCCGCCTTTTGGGCTTCCTGGGCGGATACGCTGCCCAGGCTCCGTGCGCGACGCCCGCGCGTGGTGGCCGAGGTGCTGCAACAGGCGGTACTTGTTGCAGAAGGCGATGGCCGGGCAGCGCCGAGCGTGGTGGAGCTCACGCAGGCGGTTGAGAGCCTCCGGGAGTGTGGGTTTGAGGCTCCGTCCTGGGACCGCCTGGTGGAAGGCGGGAAACGGCCGCCAGGAGCGGCGAATGAGCGGGTGCCTGGAGAGTCGCTGCGAGGCTCTGCAGCGGCTTCCCTGGATGCGTCAGCGTGCGCGGGCCTTTTCCTTGACCTAGACCCAGCTTCGCGCGCCCTGATGCTGTCCCAGGCAGGACCTTGTGGAGCGCGGGCGCTGACGGCTCTCCCAACGGCGCCGGAATTTCGCCTGCAGAGCTCGCACTACTCTTGCGGCGACTGCGCCTGCCGCTCCCACTCGCACCACGCTAGTGCCGGTGTGGCGGCGCCCTCGACGCCCTCGGTGACCACCGCACTGCGTGTCCCACCGCCGGCGTCCTCGGCGCCCGGGGCGCCCGCGTGGCCACCAACGTTATGCTTCGGGACATGAACGTGGAGGTGCCACTGGCGGACGGCCGCCGCATTGAGGTCTTGGCCAACGGCCTGCCGCTTTGGCAAGGCGCGCAGGCAGCGGTCGACACGACCTTCGTATCCCCCCTGACGAGGGACGGGGGTGTCCGGGGTGCTGCTGACAGAACGCCGGGGACGGCGGCGGGGGAGGCCGCCGCGCGGAAGCAGCGGGTGACATACCCCGAGCTCGCGAACGCGCGGCGATGTAAACTGGTCGTCATCGGGCTGGAGGTGGGCGGCAGGTTCGGCGCTGAGGCAGTCGGATTCCTCCGTGGACTGGCGAAGGCCAAAGCCCGCGAGGCGCCGGCGCAGCTACGCGCCGCGGCGCGGCGCGCCCACTTCCACCGCTGGACCGGTCGCAGCACAGCGAGCCCTGGCCTGCTCCCTGCTCGAGCTCCCGATTGCTGGAGCTGACGAGTGTGACGGAGCTGAGCCGCCGTTGGGCGACCTCCTGGCGGACGCGAGGGGCACAGAGAGCGTGCTGCCAGGGACCATGGTTTTCACGAGGGTTTTTGGAACCTGCGAGGGTTTTTTGGAATGAAGAGACGCATCTCAAGATGGGAAGTGTCCCGAAGTGGTTACTTCGAGAGAGCCGCCTGCCAGCGCCATGAGCTCGCGTGGCTGCCGCCTAGGCCTAGGGTAGCTAACCGACTTCGGACGAACTAGCATGCAGGCGCAAAAGTCTGGAGAAAAAAAACACTTGACTTGACTTTGCTCGACTGACCTGGCTTGACTTGACTTACGTTGCTGCAATGCACGGCATGTCGAGTGCAGGTGCAACGAGACCGACCGCGGCTTTACAACCGCTGGAGGTGGCCTGTGGCTACCAATTTCATCCAGTGGACATGTGGATGATGGAGGGTTTTTGCTGCACGGTGACGGCGTTAGTTGTTTGAGATTGCCAGGTGACTTCGTCATTATTATGGTGGTTCTTGCCTGAGGAAATGATTGCCACCATGTCGTAAGTCGTAAGTCATAGTTCACTGTCACAAGTCAAGCTCGTGTAATCTTGGTCTCCATCAGCCCTTTCAACAACAAAATCCCGAGGTTGGCCTGGAGGCGTGCGGCTTCCAAGGCTCAATTTTTCATGCGCATCATTCTTGGAATGCTGATGATGTTGTCGTTTCCCAGGCTGCAGAGCCTGCCCAACGGTTGAAGAAGCTAACGTACCTGGAGGCACTGGGGGACGTGCCGGGATCCAAAGCGTGCCATCTTTTGTGTATTCCGTGTGCTGTTGCTGCGGGTCCAATGTTGACGTGGCAATCACATGTGTGTGGTTGCTTGCTTTCAGTTTTCATATGTTTTCATAGTGCCATGGCTATTTGCATGTTGCAAGCCGAGACAAACTTAAGTGTCAGCGTGGAAGCCGGAACCATCCAACATATTTGGCTCGAGCTTGGCCGTGCAAAGTCGTCGTAGAACACTTGGGCTCGAGAAGTACACTGCCGCTGGGGTGGCTTGGCCTATGGCAAGGATGGCAGAGATTGGACATGTTGGAGGTGAAGTTTCGTGTCGGGAGGTGTGGGGTGCGATGGCTGGTGCCGTATTTCGATGGTGTGGCTTTCAGGGTTTGTCTGGTGCCCCGTGCTTCGAGCCCGTGCGACTGGAGTCTTTGGTTTTTTCAATGCAGGGTTGCAGTCGCTGTTCCAGGCCGCCGGTCCAATCCGGCACAGCCTGAAATGAGCTCCTTTGGCACACTGTTCAAGGCATCGTTCTCGGCCGTTGCGTTTTAGGCTTTGAAGTTGCAGAGGAGGTTTTTTGAAATGTTTGGGCACTTCCCTGTCGTTCTTTTTACTGTGCATTATATGTAACATCTATTTGTGCAACCCTTGAGTGGGCAGGTGTCAACGTTTGGGGAATCACATGGCGTGGGTGTGGGGTGCATTGTGGATGGCATCCCTGCCAACCTCGCTTTGCACCTCGGCCGACAGCTGATGAAATTTGCATTCCTGAATGGTAGCACTAAAAAAGATTGTAATGGGTTGTGATGGAGGACCTGTGATTGTGTCACGTAGAAACGGCCAGAGCCCGAAGTCAAAACAAGCGCTACCTAGATGCATAGATTTTTAGATGTATGGATGAATGGATGTATAGATGCATAGATGCGCATATACATGCTAATCCCCCCTCCCCCCCCCCAGCGCTTGGGCCAATGTGTGCAGTGTTGCCAGCCTCCTGCTTCGGGTCCGATGTATGTCATTATGGGGTTATAGGCTCGTGCATGCTACAGTAGTAGAAACCAACATAAACCTGAAGATGCAAGGTTTGATGCTGACAGATCGCCAAAGGCCTTCCCTGTCAGAGGATAATCAAAGACAGCCCTTGGGGTGCACAAGCTGCGCCCGAGTCTGTTGGTGTGTGCAGAACATGAGATTCTGCGAAAGAGTAAGTGTCAGATAAGAACATTGCTAAACAGAATTTCCGGACAGCGCCGCACCCCGAAGTTTCCATTGTTTGTTTGTTTGTTCTAATTATCCCTAAAGGACCACAAGAATTGCAATATGCAAGGGGTTGGAAGAACAAACAACAATATCACCTTCGCACGAGCTTTCCTACGAAGATGCAGCTTGGACATTCTATGACTTTTTGGCTAGGGGTGTCGCTTTGAAGGCAGGCTCGGCGGCCTGGGAACAAAAAGTGCTCCTTTTAAGCTTTAAGGAGGGGTCACACAGTAGGCATGTCCCATGGAGATGTACGGCTACTACGAGCAGTCTATTAGCACTGGTTCCGAAGCCTTGCTGTTGGAGATTCTATTCGATTATGAAACTGCAAACCTACTTGGCAAGTGTATTTTCTATACACGAATAACAGATACGTTCAACATGCAGATACGTTCAACATGCTGAGTAAGGACACAGAGGATCGAGCATAATATCATATCGGGGCCCGAGTTCAAGGTTCAAGATGCCCAAGTAGTTTTCCAGTCATCTTGAATCTTGAGATTGGAATCTCGAATCTTGGAGCAGGAGCCCGACTAGGGTCTTGTTTGATTCAGGCTTTCATTCCGGCCCAAGGACCGAGGAGGACGTGCAGCCGCAGCTCACCCGGCGGCGACCCGGGCAGAGCTCGCTGACGACGGCGAGGACAGGGTTGAGGGTTTCGACTCAAAGCTTTGGACATTGCTACGGCTCTGAGTTCCTTAATCGCGACCCGTAGCTTTGTGGCACGTCGGTCGTTTGGGGAGCTCGCAGGAACCCACAGCACGCTCGAATTGTCAGCAGGAATGATAAGATCGCAGCATCAGCAGGAATGATAAGAAGTTTGCGACGCCTTGAGAATCAGGACCCATTAAGTACGCCAAGAGGATTGTTTGCTAGACCTGCCCTCCCGCAAAGGGGCACGCTCTTAACTCTGAAAGTTTGCTATTTGAAGCATTTATGCTGATGAGTCACGCTGCTTACTGCAGTTTCTTCTGCAACCCTTTCTCGAAGTTAAGAGAATCCCTCCAAAGTAGAGTTAAACGATTGACCATGAAAGATTTCCATCGCAGAGCTGGCAGAGCAGAGGTGTCGAGGGCGTGTGGGCTCCAGGCCGGTGAATTCCATTGCACAGCTCACGATTGCATAGGCCCACGACGACCCCATCAGTCTCGCGGATTCTCTCACTGTCTTTGTAACCAGCCAGGAATGAGAGCGACACGATCACGATACTCTCCGGCACGGTGGCTTGTCTTGATTGAGACATCTGATGTCGCCAAGCCGTTCATGGTTTGATTGGCTTTCAGGCTACTTCAGGTTGAGTGTGGTCAAAGATTCAGAGCAGTGGCATGATGCGAGCTGGGCCAGTGATTTTGGTTCAAGCCGTCGTCTTTGCCAAGCAACCCGTGTATCCAGAATGTCCGCCCTCCCCGCTTTCGGTGATGCCGTGCCCCTTGGCGACCCCGCCTGGTACCAGGGCCTGAACACGCCCTTCTACAAGCCCACGCACGCCGCGTGGCGCAAGTACGTGCGTGACTACTGCGAAGAGGTCTTGGAGCCCGTGCTGGATGACTGGGAGCAGTGCGCTGTGAAGAGCAACCTGGACAAGTGCCACCAGTACATGCGCTCGACCTATGCCGAGGGCGGCAAGCGAGGAATTCTGGCCTGCGCCGTTGGCAAGCCGTGGCCCAAGGATTACACGGACTGCAAGGCACCAGATGACTACGATAACTTCCACGAGCTCATCGTGATCGACGAGACTCGGGCGATGTTCTCGAAGATTGTGCTGTGTGGTACTGTTTATAGTTCACGATTACATATACACTACGCTTTGGCAACGGGCAAAGGGCGGTTCCCTTGGTTAGGGATGTAAAGAAGGGATGATCAGGGAGGCAAGAACAGCTGAGGAGACCACGCGAATCAGCGGTGGCATCTCCTGGGCGGTGATGGGAGGCTTGAGCATCGGCCTGCCTCCAGTGGTGAATTTCGGGGTCCCGGGCGACAAGGCCTTGCAAACGCGGTGCATCAAGGAGTGCCTGAGTGGCGAGAAGGTCATCTGCCTCTGTATCACGGAAGCCTCCGCTGGCAGTGATGTCGCCGGCTTGGCCTGCCGTGCCGACGACGCCGGGGATCATTTCGTGGTCAACGGAGAGAAGTGGCCTGACTGTGCTTGGTGCATTCCCCTTGTAGTTCCAGGAGGGTCATCCGCTTTACTATTTTGTAATGCTACATGGTGCAAGTATTGTGAGCCCAGGAAGTGGATCACCAACGGCATCTACGCAGACTACTTCACAGTCATTGTGCAGACGGGCCCTCCTGGATCCCGCCAGAAGGGCTTGAGCATGCTCCTCATGGAGAGGTCCATGCCCGGCATCGAGACGCGGAAGATGGAATGCACAGGTATGTGGTCCAGTGGCACCACCTTCATCACCTTTGAGAACGTGAAGGTGCCAAAGACCAACATCATCGGCAAGCTGAACAATGGCTTCATGCAGGCGATGTACAACTTCAACCATGAGCGGTGGATGTTCCTCGTGCAGGCCAACAGGGGCGCGCGTGTCTGCGTGGAGGAGCCGTGGGGGGCGACTGCAGCCCACGACTGCGTGCCAGTTTTTGGGTTTTCTGAGGCTCAACACGAGGCCGAAAAAAAAAGTGTCCCGTAGCCTGAGCCTCAAGGCCAAGCAAACTCGCCGACATGCAAGCAACGGTAATCGCAGAAGGCGCGCGGAAAACAGCAGAGTTCTGGGGAGGAGTCCCTCAAGTTTGCCCGCAAGCGCCGCACCTTCGGCAAGTTCCTGATTGAGCACCAGGCCGGAAGTGGAAGTGGGGTCTTGCCAAAGACCGAGACAACCCCAACGTGTGTGGGCGGGGGGCGAGGTTTTCAGGTAAAGTGTTTCGTTTGTTTTTTGGGGCTTCATGCAGTCTGCATACCCTGACTGTTCATCCCCTTGCCGACCCCTGCTCCCCAGAAACAGGATAGGCTCAGCAATTAAGGGGTTCTTGAGGTCAAGACCTGGATGCTGCGACAGGTCATCCAGCACAAGATCGGCGAGATGGGTCGCCAGTGCGAGGCTCTGCAGGCTTGGATCGACTACCTGCACCTGGGCCTGAAGTTTTGGGGTGATTCAGCCCAGGGGGGGGTGATGGCACATGTTAGCCCAAAGGCACCTCCGACAGCCAAGGACTTTCCAGCTCACCACCATGACCTTGGCCTGGATTTTCTGCAACTTTTGCAAGGTTACAAGAAGTCAAGCCCCGAATGAACTGCAGTTCGTTCAGAGATTGAATGGGAACTTTGTTACCCGGCTAAGAATCAAGGACCAAGGAGGAGCAGAACAAAAAGCTCGGTGGCTACATCGCACTCCTCAAGGTGTCGGCCACGAAGCCGCTCGTTCCATCTTGCTCCTACATGCACACGCAACACACAGTTTTGGGCATTGGCTTTGCCGGCTTTGCATTTTGCAGGTTATTCACAGATGTGTACTGCGAAGGTTCGTTCAATTGGTGCCAAACTTTTCCGGCCGACGTTGTAGCCGCCGTTGAGAAGCAAAGGTATAAACAGTGGTGTCTTGCCGGGATGCAAACTCATTTCCAACATCTCCAAGGACAGTGGAGTACTGCGCGCGGGAGGCTCTGCAGGTCTTTGGCGGAGCCGGCTACACCCGCACTGGACAGGGTGAGAAGGCACAATGCAGGGCAGTCAAGTGGAGCCGATATCTGAGTTTATTTCTATCTCACAGTTCTTCAGAAGCCTCCAGTCGGATTCAAGCTCC